TCCCAGAGCCTTTGAGTTCCTTGTAGAGGATCATGCAAGAAGAACTCTGAGGAGGGGCACAGCACTCTTTCACAGGTTGTGTAGGCTACTGTGACCCCAGGTCCCCTGCAGCCCCTTCGAGACCTGCACAGGAAGGACTGTGCCCAGAGCCCTCTCCAAGGGGATGGAGAGCTCAACTTGCACTGTAGAGCTTAGTTTTCTGGGCCACCCTAGGGGAGGTGCCCTTAGCTGTGCTGGGGCTTTCCAGGGTGCGTATGGAAGCTGGGATAAATGGGGAGGGACCAGCCAGCTGTCACTCTTGGTGATGGGGCTGTGTTTGAGTCTAGCTTGGAGTCTGTTACGAGCTCAGAGGCATGGGCTGTCACTGCAGGACCCAAGGTGACAGGGAACCCACTGCTGCCCGCTGTGGACAGGGCACGGCAGGCAGCCTGGTCCTACTTGCTTCCGGCCAGCAGCTCCAGGTAGTTGGCACAGTACCCAGCCCTGTGTGGACACAAGAGGAAACTCCCTTCTTCAGGAATGAATCGTGATGACCAGAAGGGAAGAACAGGTCAAAGAATCCAGGATATGAGACTCATGCCACAGATGGAAGGAAAAGCATTTCTTAAAAACAGAATCCAACACATCCCCTCTTCACCCTTGCATGTCCCCAGTCCACAGGGAGAAGCAGGGTCCCTGCATGGCTTTGTTTCACAGTGTTTAACATCCAACCTGCTCCCAGGCTCACCACTCTTCTGCGGGAGGCCCTTGCCATCTGCTTTTGGGTGCCCAGGGGCCTGAACCTCCCAGGCTGGGTGAGAAAGAACCACATACGACAGGCAGCAGAAGCTACCCAGCCCTGGCTGCCTTGGCCCTGGAATAAAGAGGGGCTTTTGTCCTTCAGAACTGAGCCAGAGCCTCACACCCACCAAGGGCACAAGATGGAGCTAATCTGCAACACTGCCTGCCCACCACTTGGGCATCACTTTAAAAAACACAAAAAGCCACACACACCCTAAAGACCCTTTAATCTTTATCCATGAATATTTAATCAGGGCTCTGATTGTATATGAAGGGAATTCAAGAGTATGTTTCCACCTAAGGTCTAATTATTTAATAATGGTAACAGAAGGCCCAGGGATTTAGCTCAGTGGTTCGGCCGCCTGCCTGGCAAGTGCAAGGTCCCGAGTTCGATGCCCGGTACCCCCCCAAAAATAATAATAATAATGGTAACAGAATCCACATTTGTATTAGAACTCGCTCGAATGTTGCTTTATAGACCGCCTTTTTAATAGAGGCTGAACAGTCTATTTTTTGGTGCCCACTTTTTTCTGCAAATCAGAGGGCATGAAGATGCATCATCATGGCTTTCGATAGAGAACAACAGAGCCAGAAAGAGGATTTCTATCAGGTGGTGACCGTCACATGATAGAAATCTCTTTCTTCAGCGATGGTGTCACCCTGAGGATTACAGTCACAATTTATTGGCCAATTTCAGACAAGATGCTGTAGAAAATTCCCACTTGTTCAGAAAGCTGCTAGCAGGCAGGCCCTTAATATAAAATGTCAGTACATTCTGACGCTTCAGGTGCCAACACGGCTATCCATAAAGTTTGAGATTGGTATTATTATTATTGGTATTAATATTTTAACTTAGTGCTTATAGGATCTTTCTGAGCACCAGCCATGCTTAATTAGATGACATTGGGCATCCAGTGCTTGGTTGAGAGCCCATGTGCCTTGGAAGGCTGATATCCCTGAGGGCCTCCCAGCTTCCCCCATTGCATCAAACATTGGCCCCACCTGGACCCAAGCCTGTGTCCCATCCCCTTGGCTTTGAGGGGACAGGGCCATCTATCTAGTCACTTGCTTTATTGTCTGAACTTTTATTGTGCTGTTGTTTTAGGGGGGCACAACCTGGCCCGACGAGATTCTTCAAATTCCCATTGCACAATAATGGCACATATAAGATTCTAACGTAGGGCCAGGGATTTAGCTCAGTAGTTTCACTGCCTGCTGTGCAAGCGCAGGGACCTGAGTAAGATCCCCCAGTGCCCCCCCCAAAAAAGATTCTAATGTATTTTCAAAGTAACCTGTAACATTTTGCTTTCCAACAACTTCTCAGTAGGGTAAATGTTTTGCAAATATCTTATTGTTGTATGGTAAGGTATTTTCTATGTCTGTCTTAAATCAAATTGTTTTTCTTTCATGAAAATCTTGGGATAATTCTTCAAGGTAAAGAGCATAAGGATCATGCATTTTCTATAAGGAATTAGAGGAATTCCCAGACACCATGTCTCTGAGATCTCTGCCATGGAGAAGCAAAGCTCTGGCTGGTTTCCTGTGTCCTGATCTTACTTACCTATGTATATGTGTTTGTGTATGTGTAGCTATATGTTGGGTTCTTTCCATCCATCCATCCATTTTGGGGCCTTCCTTCAGTATTCTTCTCTAGAGGAGAGAGAGCTGCATCTGATGTTCCAGACTCTACTTTTATAAACTGTCCTGACTGAGGACCCTGCAGGAAATGAGCCATACCACACCAAATACAATCCCACCTCCACCTCTGTCTCCTGACAGAGTAGGCCATGAGACAGGCTTCCTCCTCAGCAAGCTCACACACGGGTAGGGACAGGGCAAGCAACAAACTTTCAGGAGAGAACAATGCCTTTCACTGGCTCTTTCCCTAGGTGATTCTAGTGCAATGGATTTCTATAACTTCCATATTTCAAGTTTACTTATTGCATTTAATCTGTTTATTTACTTAGCTCCTTGCTCTTAAAGGCAAATAATCTGAGGAATGTAAGAACTTATAAAGGGGAATTAAATTGCAGGTGGAGAATCATAATAAAGACACACAGGTGCATTTTTATTGTGATGATGTGATGCTAGTGTGAAGTGTGTCTTGGTGTCAGACTCTGCAAGGTGCTGTGGAGTGGGCTTCCACACATTCAGTGTATGCTCATAGATCTGTGTCAAGCTTAAAAGCAGACCAAAATGTCACACCAACAAAGCTTTTTCTTGTATCTCATTAGGATCTAAAATTTAAGACTTTTTTATTTCCATAAAGCTATTATATCTATGAATAAACATCAACCTAAGCCAAGAAATAGGTATTAAAATATAGCCAGCTATTGACTCTTTTTTTTTGAGGGATTGTCTTAGTAAATAAAGTGTTGATCTCTCCCCAATGGGACTTTGGCTCAATTCTCCTCTCTACTCCTCAGTGAAATGGATTCACTGGTCTTGACTTATTCTCAGAATAAAGGTATACTGCTTGCCCAGGCCACTTTGGTCTGAGGACAGGATCATGCAGGTCTTCATAGAGACCCATGCACATTGTCTCAAAAGCACAACCTGAAGCAATTGGCTCCAAACTGTCTCCTCTGCTCACAAGTTTTTTCTTCTCCCTATTTTAATAAGCAGTCCCCCTTTTCTCCAAGAATTTTTACCCTAGAATTTGGCTAACTTTAAGAAACTTTCCTTGCACACCCTAGGTTTTGCATCCTCTCTCTCTCTCTCTCTCTCTCTCTCTCTCTCTCTCTCTCTCTCTCTCCTGGCTTTTTGGGGTGCTCTTGGTTTTGGTTCTTAGACGTCATTTAAAAGGCAGGAACATGGTGAGAAGGGGTACGAGGGACCCAGCTGCTCTGTCTCATTCCTGCTCACAAGGGGAAGCAGAGCAGCCCGCAGTCACCCACGGGGAGCTGGGGAGCCCCTGCACACGTGGATGAGTTTTCACAAATATTTACACAAATTCAACAAGTCTGACCTGGAAAAAATGTCTGGAAAGAAAAAAAAATGCAAGTGATGCATTATGAAAAATATTGTGACATACAAGACCCCATTTCTGGGAAGTCCAAGAAAAAAACTTTAAAGCCATATTTGGCAAAATGTGGTTTTGGCTTTGAGTGCAGGTGTCTGGTTCTCTCTGTCCAAGGCAGAAGCATGAACATAAATGAAAACACCCACCAGGGACAGAAGGCACCACCCTCCCTCTGCATTGGTTAGGGTCAGAAACAGGATCCACATTTCCTTAACTCACTCTGTTTGTATTTGAGGGTGTGGAAAGGGGGTGTAACACTTCTACAATTTTAATCCTTACAGGTTTCCTGGAAGCTTCCTTTGTACCATGGTCTCCACCTGGTTTCCGTGAAGGTCTCTTGTGTTCTGAGAAATCATGGTCAGCCTTTGTGCATTTACCAAGAAAGCCCAAGTTAGGAAAATGTCCATGGCTTACTATTTCAAATGACAAATTAATCTCAAAGGATGAATTTAAATAAAGATATGGGGACCAAGGGTAGGTTACTTCCCTGCTGGGAAATGGTGCTAAGTACCCCTAACTCCTATTTCCATTGTATGTCAGGTGGGGTACAGGTTGACGGGGTGGCCGTAGGATCTGGAACATTCAAGTAGTTATCGGTGTGCCAAAAGAACAACCAACCACTCAACAAACAAACCCACACAGTCTCTCAGACTCCCAAATAAATGTCATTCATCTATAATCTATAAGACTGGGAGAAGGGAGAAAATGGACGTCCCATTTCCTTAGTTTTGGAAAATTTTCCTAGATTTAAGAATGGTTTTGGGCTGAAGAGCCAGTAGAATGGTGTCGTGTACTTTCTAGGCAATTATATAACAATAGGGCCCACAATTTTAGCTTTTTTGGGGGCAGAATTTGCACAGTGCTACTCACTCAATTCTCCCTGGCAACCAAAAGGATTTCTTTATTAAAACAAGTGTAGTCGGTACCCTAACAAGCCAAATAATTAAAGTTGAATTCAATTCCATTGAATGCAAATTTAACAGAGACAATTAAATACCCAAAAGTACTATACTTTGCATTGTATTAAGTATAGTCGATTTCCCACATCACTCTCCCCTTCTATCTCAGTAACACCAAAAATCTCCCCTGTTAGAAGAATGATACTGACACACTATTCAACAGTAAAATCTACACACTCAGTGTCAGCCAAAAATCTTCAGAAAAGAGCCCAGGGACTTTGCAACACAACAAAACACCGTCACTGCTCTCATCTTTTAATGCACGATGTTGTGATAAATCCACTTTACAAATCATTTGGACTCATGTACTGCTCAAGGTAAAGAGTATTCATTATTTTTTGCATTCCATTAAATTTTAGAGATTTTTAGAGTTTAAGCTTTTAAACTATAGTTTAAACTTGAAATCTAGATTTCATTCCTGATAAAAGTGGGTTCATTCTTTTCCCCAATACCATACAAAGTCTTTCAGAGGACCAAATTTGAAATTACTTGCAGTAGTCCCCTAAATTTGTGCCCAATCAAGTATTTCAGAAATCAAATCAAGTTCCTGCATTTGTATGTGTATATGTATCTTTGCTATGAAATATACAGTGTATATTTTTAAATCCCTATTTTCTTATGAAACAGCTTTGCTTTCTTTCCCCACAACCAAATTTAATGCTTTATTGCTAAGCCTGTTTGGTCCAAATCTGCAAAGGAAATTTAAGTTTCATGAACTCCTCGGCTTCACCTAAAGAGTGAGGGTTTGTCACGATGCCAAACAAATTTTCAAAACAATGTCATGCATGAGACGAACCTAGTATAAACAAGACAAATTTTCTTATCATGAAAGACATGCAGACACAAATGCAGACATTGACCTTTGCAGCTGTAACTTTGCTCTCTCTCTAGAATGAGTCGAACATCATTTCTAGAATTCAGTGTGATTAGCCGAGGCTCTACACAGATCTGGAAAAAAAATTAGATAGCATTACTAACAAATCAAACACCAGGTCATTAAGTCATTTACATTCTACAAAAAGTATATGCTGTTGAGAACATATTTTTCAGCTTTTATTATGGAAATGTTCAAATATGCACAAGAGTAGAAAGAAGGGTGCAATCTATTCCTCTAGTCTCAAAACCCACTTCCACAGTGATCGACACTCTGTTATTCTGGTCTCATCCTCTTGGTTTGGGCCAGAGTATTTTAAAGCAAGGCCAAGTACTGTATCATTTCACCCATGGGTGTGGGAATATTTAAAGAACACTGGGTCAGAGATAGTTCGCAACTTGGAAGGAGCACTAGACACTGGGCTTTGAATCCAAGAGACAGCTAGGTGTTTTGCTTCACACTACTTTTCCCATTGAAAACAACAAATGTTTATTCAAAAAGGCTAGGCACAGTTTTAGCTACGTAGCTGATTTGAAATATGCTAGTCTTTGAAAGTAATTATTTCATATTTTAGAATTTAATACTTTCCATTTGGCTTGGGAGGGATAGACAAAACAGTGGTGATGCTTTTATGTTTAATGTGGGCAAAACATTTCCAGACACTTGCTATCTTACTTCATATACTGCCTTTAAAATGGGTATGTGGTAAATTCTGCAGTCACAATGTTTTTAAATGTTAAAACCTAGTCTCAGGGCAGAAATGCTAGGCAGTGAAGATATTTATGTATTTCTATTTATACCTGCACAGACTAACAAATACTTCCACAAACATAAGAGTATCTATTCATTTATAATCTACAGCAATACACTTTCTACCTGGAGTGGAATATAGTAATGTTTTAATCACATCTTGTATTATATTAAGATTTTAATCATTTTCACTTCAAGACAGCAAAAGGACCACCTGGAAAAACCTGGGTTCCATGGCACAGAACATTCCTCAGCTAAACATAATGATTTACTTTTAATTTTTGCCTAGGAAAAAGAAACCTCGCGAGGAAGGAGCTCTGTTCCCCTGCCTCTGCCAAGAGGAGAGGGACCCTGGTAACTCCTCTTCTCTTTGGTGCTGGATGCCGTGGTGGCAGCCCCAGACTTCTGCAGCCTTGGACCTTTCACTAAGATGGTAGACTTTGTCAAAGACGACAAGAATGTGCATGGAGCTCACTGATGTGCTGTTTCTTAACTCAAACATGCCCACCTTCAATTGGACATACGATATATTTTCTCCATTACACCCCATTTATTTTTGTGTATGGGGGTGAATATGCAAACCTCGACATTTTGAAGACTCTGTGAGCGTATCTTCACCTGCTCATATATAAGTATTTCAGATAAAGTGAACAATCTGCATTAAGCAGAAAAAAAGCAAAATTCATATAAACGCCAAGCTCATAATAAATACAGAAAGTAAACTTTCAATCAAATGTCTAGTTATGGAAGTATCTATTTTCTAAATGATTATTGATCTCTCTAAAAGCAATAGGTGAACATTTTACAAGATCTCAGTACAGCATCTTGCACATAGTATACGCTCAGTAAACAGTTACAAATATACAGGTTCATAATCACACACACACACACACATATCACCTCTCTGAAACATCATTTTGACTGAGGAGATCCTGGCGTGGCAAAGTGTTATACTTATACTATGTAGTGAGGTGCAGTATCACTTCACCAAGACAGGCTAGGCATGACCTGCTTTGGTAGGAACTTACTGCACCTGTATTTCAGGGCACCTGGAGTTCTTCTGTGATATGAGAGTCTCCTGTTTTACACAGTAGTCAAAACTGTCCCTATACATTAAAATGCATCACTTCTTTGCTGTCACTGGAATCACTCACTGGGACTGCTATCGCTAGGTGCTGCTTTAGCTTTTTCTAGCAATAATATTCCAAGTTCTCTACCATGTTAACTTACTTCAATAGGAGGTTTTTCAGGGGACACAGCTGTGTTTTATTTCATACTAGCAATATTGCTCATATAGTAGGTATATTCTTTAAGCTTATGCTTTCTCAGGGTTGATATTGTTTTAATTTCCAATTGTAACTATGTAGAAGGAATGAAGAGAGGTCATTAACGTTAGGGAAACTCAGTCAAGATGCTGAGCTTGGAAACAGTCTTCCCCAGAATCTGAATTAGGGGCTACACTGTCCTGAACAGTGAGTAAAACTCAGGCTTTTCTGATCACCTGAGTAGGTGTTCACACAGCAAATTATGTGCATTTATAGTAGATGATTATAAAAAATCCAAACCCTCTATAAGGAAATAAACAGAAAAACGACTATTTCAAATACTGTCCATCACATGTGTGTGTATATCTGCACACCTGCATCACTGAATTGTTTGAAAAATTTCAAAATTGCTTTCTTTAGGAAGTTTGGCTATGAACTTATCTCACAAACTTCTACTTTACATATCCAACATCAATGAAAAACGCTAAAATTGCTGAATAATCCCCACTATGTCATTTCATTAGATTCTTTTGCAAATTCCAGTTGAAACCAGATTTAAAATAGAAAACAACTGGGCTGGGGATTTAGCTCAGTGGTTATGCTGCCTGCCTGGCAAGTGCAAGGTTCCGAGTTCAATCCCTGGTACCAAAAAATAATAGTAACAATAATAATAAGTAAATAGAAAACGACCCACTTATCTACTCATTAAGGAAACTTTCATTGTTCTCTTAGTGATGAATTCATGATCTTTGCCTAATAACTTTTGATGCTATCAATATTTATCTACACACATGCAGTGAGTGTCATTTTAAGGACACTGGCACCAAGTTTGATACAGAAGATGTGTGTGTGTGCCTCATGCACACTATACTTTATTGTAAACACCTGCTAAATGCTGAATGTCTCAAGCTTGCATATGGCTTAAAAGAGTAGTCCACTGGCTTTAAATTACTGTCTTCATATATATTCCTTCATCTTCTTTCCAGATATACCTGAAAAGAATGAAAACCTATATTATACCCTGTGCCTGTATTAACCATTATCAGAGCGACAAGACTGGATGTCAGCTCAGCCGTAGGGAGGGCAGGGCCAGCAGTCCCAGGCTCCACCTTGTTATATAGTAAACAACGCTCTGCTCATTCCCTGTGGCTTCTGAGTGTGCCTGTGTGCAGTACGTATGTCTAAGAATATGAGTCAAGTGTTATTTTCTACCCACTAAGCTAGAAAAAAAACACTTCTTTAAAGATGTAGACATTCTAGGAAAGGAACCTGAAAAAAATAACCAGAATACTCAACCCCAAATAAACAGACAAACAAAAAACATAAAAATTTTTCTTACAAAATAAAAATTCTACCTTCTGCTGGTATAGCAGATACTTAAGTCATTAGCTTCTCCTTGCCTGAGTCAGGATGGAAAATCCTATCTTTAAAAGTTGCTTTTTTCTTTTAAAGCAAGTGCTTTGGCGTTACCTAATTCTCAACAAGAATGGGCTCCTTAACCTTTGGAAATCAGGGGGTCTGGATTCCTTTGAAAGGCAGAGGAAGGAAGTACAGAGGGGAAAGCCCCCAGCGCAATGGTTTCTGCAGATCCAGTTCCTGGAGATCCCAGAACCCTACTCCGAAGTGAGGCTGGCAGGAGCCCGCGAGGCCGGGTCTGCGAACAAGCTGTGCTCGGCTGAGCGGAGGCGCGGGTGCGGGCTGTGAGCACATGTTACATCAGACACAGTACCTGATTTTCCACTGCACATCTTGTCAGCGAAGTTGTGTGCCTCCTGCGCGATAAGTGAGAATATTTCATCTTCGTACTCCTCTATTATATTCTCGCACTGTAGAGACATAATAGCAACACACTATGTGTCTGGATACATACTGGTAGGGCGTTTTATTGGAAGGACCTGGCAACATTTTATTGTACATATGAGATCACGTAGCTAAGGCAGCCTATTTTGGGGGGGCCCTTTTGGCTTAATTCATCATTGCCTCGGATTAGCCCTCTTCCCAGAATGTTAATTGCATCATTTCCCGGGACTTAACCAAATCATTAGTCATGTTGGAAGATGAGTGAAGATGAGGAAGGAAAGGGCTCTTTGTATTTCTCTTCCTAAAACTGGAAATGCAAGTCATAAGAAGGAATGGGTTTCCTAAGTAAGGAGCTGAAAAGTCTCAGTTTTCTGTTTGCAAAAACAATTTAAAGAACACAGCTCTTTGAGGTGGTGGGACCCATTTCCTTTTGATTTAACATAATAATCCAGTTTGGGGTTTGAAAGTGTGAAAACAATTAAGCCTTCACAGCATTCAAAACAAACACATCTTCAATTTCACTGTGGAGAACCTGTTTGATAGTTAGAGAAGTTTCTTTTCATACCTTTTAGAGATCCAGGCAAAAAAGTCACTTTGCTTAAAAAAAAAAAAAAAATCCTGACATTGTAGGGCACAGGGAGCTCAACTTTGCCCCTGGATCAGAAAATCTTAAATTACAACTAAGATGGTTCTTCGTTAAAGAACCACTAAGTGGCATGTTCAGTAAGTCTTGAGTTCCTGAAGGGCATTCATGAGAGACTTGTGAATTAGTTTCTGAGGTCATTAAGCAAGACTTGAAAAATCTTAAGTGGCATTTAAGAATATTTAAATTCCACCTTAATGTGTTTATTTAAAACCAGTGCAACACAAACACACGAACATTCTCATTCCTATTCCATGGTACTTTGAACTCTGAATTACCACCCTCACTTTTTAATTAAAATGATATCTCCAAATGTCAGCCACGGCCCTCATTTCGGGCTTTCAGCAGGCCTGACATTTTGGCCAACGCGTGAACTTAATACATTTTTTAAACTGGCCTGCCCATCACTGTGTGTGATTCAACAGCATTAAGTAAAGGGAAATATATTGCAATATATTCTGCCAGGCACATTCTAGCAAGCCAGAGGTCACCATTCATGTAAAATCAACATTATACTGGAAGAAAATCTGGCTTTATGCCAACTATTTTATGCCAACTACCTAATTCTTTGTTTAACTTAGTTTGTGCTAAAATTCTTCAATTAACTAAGGGGGAAAACATCTGTCTCTTCTGTAAAGCCGGGAAGGAAAGAGATGATGACATCACTACTCCGCCATCATCTGGCTCTAAAACATTTGAAAATGATGTTCTTTTCCATTTGGATTTTTAACCTACAACCCCATCCTTATATGCAGACCTGTCAGACCTCCTTGGACACCAGGACAAGGTCACTTGAACACACTGTATTCAAGTCACTGGGACCTGGGGATGGCACCTCCATAAAATATCACTTCGGTCTCTCCATGGATCATTTTGGGGTTCCACAAGCTCTCGGGTGTCTCAAAAAGAGAGTCACTAAGTGCACAGTTAGTCGGTAGCAGCAGGACAACCAAATTAACAGTTGACACTGAATGTGTTCTACTGTCCCATGGGTTGCAACTCAGCAACAAGAAAGCAGCAAAGGACAAAGACTACCCACCCCAGCCTCACAGGTCACATGGTTCCTCTCGCAGGAGAGAGCTTACCGCGAATTTCAGAGGTTTGTAGGCATCAGAGTAGTAATAGAACCTCTTATATTCTTTGTATATCTTGTCTCCTTTCCTCGGAGCATATCTCCGGAAGTACTTCTCCTTAGTCACAGAGTCTTCATCGAGCTGGTAATCGTTCATTCGCTCACACACTTTATCCAGAAGGTCGATGAGGAACGCCTCGGACTCGACCAGGGGGACCTAGGGAGAGGCAGATGGCAAGGAAGACACACTGGACTTCCGGGTGGGACTGTGGAGAAGAGGGTGCAGGGAAAGCCTTCGGAAGCACACCGGGCCGCCTGCAACAAACAAGTGTTGATGTAGTGGGGCCTTGGCACTGGCGCGTTATTTGCGTCTTTTAAGGTTAGCTGAAGTCTAGGAAGAAACAGTGCATGCCTACGAGCGTGGCCAGAAAACTTACACTCAAACTAAAAACTATACCCCTACATATAATCATTTTTAAAAATTGTTAAACATGCAGAAAAAGCATGAGGCACAAAAAGGCTGCTGAAGGAGAGAGAGAGAGAGAGAGAGAGAGAGAGAGAGAGAGAGAGAGAGAGAGAGAGAGAGAGAGAGAGA